TTAAACAATCACCAACACATCCCATCATTTCAATGCATTCACACTGATATCCGTTGAATGGGCAGGGCTATCATAGGTCTCTGATGGTTTATATGTTGCAACACATGCTTCTGATGCCTCAAACTGGACGTCATTCTGGAAGGGAGGAACGAAGTACACTCTTTGCATGTGAAGAGTTTGATAACTTTTAAGTGAACTGCCCCTATCTAGAGGATCCCAAGTCAGGCCTAGGCCCCAACTTGGAAGAGTGACACAAACAGCTTGCACTGTAAAGTGTGATGGTCAGCCCAGCTCTTTCAGAATTGGAAGTATCAGAGTTGGTCCTGCAATTATGGATGATTGGTAATCCAGCTACATACTGTAATGGTTGTTGGGACAGTACATGAAGTGGAAGTAACTGATGCTAGTTGTAACACTATGGCTCCATTCATTGTTCCATATACAAAAATAAATACACGAATACCAACACACCTAAGATTGCCAGTTCAGAAATATAGATTATGTAATAAAAATTGTGCATTTTGTGTTACATAATGTAAAATACTGTGCATTTGGTGTTTCATTATGTAATTAAGATTGTACATTTTGTGTTTTATTATGTAATAAAGATTGTGTTTTGAGTTTCATTTTGTAATGAAAGTTGTGCAATTTTTGTTTTCATTACGTAATAAAGATTGTGCGTTTTGTGTTTTCATTACATAATAAATATTGTACATTTTGTGTTTTCATTACATAATAAAGATTGCACATTTTGTGTTACATAATGTAAAAAGATTGTACATTTTGTGTTTCATATGTAATAAAGATTGTGCATTTTGTGTTACATGATGTAAAAAGATTGTACAATTTGTGTTTCATTATGTAATATAGATCGTACATTTTGTGTTTCATAATGTAATAAAGATTGTGCATTTTGTGTTTCACAATGTGAAAATACTGTGCATTCTGTGTTACACTACATAATAAGGATTGTGAATTTTGTGTTACATAATGTAAAAAGATTGTACATTTTGTGTTTCATTATGTAATGAAGGTTATGCTTTTGTGTTTCATAATGTCAAAAAAATAATTTGTGTTTCATTATGTAATAAAGATTGTGCATTTTGTGTATTATTATGAATTGAAGATTGTACATTTTGTTTCATAATGTAATAAAGATTGTGCATTTTGTGTATCATTATGAATTGAAGATTGTACATTTTGTTTCATAATGTAATAAAGATTGTGCATTTTTGTTTCATTATGTAATAAATATTGTACATTTTCTTTTATGTTGTATCCAGTCTCGTTATTTTATTTAACATCGATCCAGCTAGTAAGTTTCGGCATTATTTTGTAATCAGTATATTTGTAATTGATCGAATCCCATGTTATCAAGTGGGTCTACCCTGGTATAGCTCTACAGTTAATCCAGTTTCTTAGGTCGCTCGCTGTCAGTGAGAGAGCTAGGCCAGTCTAGTACCGCTGCCATGACCTCTACTTTACAGGAGTACGCTCCGCTGGTAGATAAACCCTGAACGAGACGATAATGTTTACAAGTAAAGAAAAACTTTTCAAAAAGGAAGTAAATGTATGGATGGCTAATATCAATACTTCAAAACGAATGCAAACAAGATAGTAGGGATGGCATTTGCATCATCCCTACATAATAGCACAGCTACACAGTGTAGTAGAATGTTAACAGTTAAACTCAATGGGATCGAATAGTTATATATATTGCAATATTTTAATTATTGTCTGTGCTATTGTGGAGGGATGATGCAAATGTCATCCCTACTATCTTGTTTGCATTCGTTTTGAAGTATTGATATTAGCCATCCATACATTTACTTCCTTAATATAAAAGTTTTTTCTTTACTTGTTTGCTTGTTTTTTAATAAGCAAGTTCTAAATACAACGAGGTTCCAACTGTAATATTTATAGTTTATCTATTATTAACTGGTAATTCCTGTTTTACCCTGTATTTAAGCTTTTTAAAGAAACACCAAATGTTTGCAAAAAAGCTGACTTCAAAGCGTCATTTAATGTTAACATCGTTTGCACTCGAATTATGATTTTTTTATTACTACTAGTTATTAATAATGCTTATAAAAGCGGATACTCCGTTTGAAACTATGTCACCTCAGTGAAATTGGTTGACACCATTGTTTTGGGTTTTGAGTTATCATGTAATAAAAAATAAGCAGAAGAAATAAAAACAAGAAATTCAAACTTTTTTGTTATGATATTTATAAACACTTCCAGAACTTTTGACTAAGTCATTACATAGATATTGTTATAAAAGGAAACACTGTATAGTATTGTAAAGTTCTAATGACCTATTGAGGAGGTATTTAAAATTCCATTTCGATGAACAATCCGAGCTATACCTACATAAGCAGTGCTATCATCTACCTGATAATTCTCTTTTCATGCTGTAATTTCTGAATTACAGAAATATATTGTTCTGTAGTTCATCTTCGAAGTTCTCTGAAATTTGTAAGTTGTAAAATTTTCAAATAAGGTACGACATACCATTAATTTTACCACAACAACACAAAAATGTTTGAATAAACTGTCGAGTCAAATCTCTACAAAGTATTTGCATCATATATTGGTTGGAAAATATTTTGATCGAATTTCATTAAATCAACACCAGGGGTAATAAAAAGAGGTATCCCTAAATTAAGATTAGTTCCTCACACCTTATATAAGGAACATATTACGTAGAATAGGGAGAAGGAGAAAAAAAACAACTAGTGGTGCTTTAAATAGAACCCGTTTGATATATTCAGTCACCGGACTTGATTTCCTAACTGACTGAATTATTTAGAAAACACAATAAAGAGATGGCCAAACAAGCTAACGTCAGCGAACCGCTGTATAAAGTGCTATTTTACTGTTTCAAGATAGTTCTACACAATGGGCTAGCTGCTTTCTGTCCACCGCAGGCAATCAAATCCCGAATTTTAACAATGTAAGTCCTTAAATTTATCGCTGACCCACCGTAGACTGTAGTGTTACAAATACGAAAGAATTATACTACTTCGAAAGGGATTTTTTAAAAGACAAATCGAATTACTGATTGATGGACATCTTTGGAATTTCTCACTCGATACAACCTACTTGTTAACAAAACAATATTTACGTAAGTGTTTATTAGCAATATAACTTAATAATCACGAAAGTGTTTATTAGAAATATAACTTGCTACAGCTGTAGGGGGAACGAGTGTCTTCTGTGGCGTTAATACTTTGTTAATGGTGTTGTTATTTTTGTGTAAAGCTACATAATGAATTATCTGCACTTTGTCCATTACGGGGGATTAAACTCCGGATTTTAGCGTTGTAAGTTCGTAAACTTACCGCTTGCTCACCGGAACGACTGTTCATGGTGAGTGCCAATAACTGTGGCTCAATTTTTTTCCCCGAAAGGGAGCTCAAAGGCCATCTGGAGGGGTCACCTGCTTTAATCACTCGTACCAAAATACAGTAATATGTTGCCTGTCAATCAGCAGACACTAAAATGACGTCACATAAGGGACGCTTAATGTTACAATTTGTACTATCGTGACATCAGTAAAATGGGCGCATGCCATGAATCACGAAAAGAATTATGCACTCTGCAGACTACAATACAGCATAACATACGAACTTCAAAAGCAAGAAATAAAAATGTTTATTACTCTTAATTTTGGTTTTATTACTGATGACACTATTCGTATGAAGTGTAAAAACAGACAAGAAAATATGCGCAAATTATCTCTCTGATCTTTATTTAATTATACTTACCCAGTATAGTATTACATTATATTATTTATAAATATATGTCGAGTTATAGTTTTAGTATTACATTATATTATTTATAAATATATATCGAGTTATAGTTTTAGTATTACATTATATTATTTATAAATATATATCGAGTTATAGTTTTAGTATTACATTATATTATTTATAAATATATGTCGAGTTATAGTTTTAGTATTATATTATATTATTAATAAATATATATCGAGTTATAGTTTTAGTATTACATTATATTATTTATATATATATATGTCGAGTTATAGTTTTAAGTAATAAATGGAGGACATATAAATCTACTCTTATTTCAACACTAAACACCATGTTCTATTGCATAATACTTATATTTCACCTTACTTCATATTGACTATAATTTTATGGTAAATGACTTATCCTGAATTTTTTTACTACGGTTTTAAAAGTATCTCAAGTGCACATGAAATGTTTGTTAGATTTCATGAAAAAGGAAAGAGCATGTTCTTATCTTGTAACATGTAAATTCGATTATTTTTTTACATGATAGAATGAATTATACGCCTCTGGTTATTTTTATGTTATCGTCAGCGCATATAGACCAAATCTATATTTGTTTAGTTTAGTTTAGAGTAGCTGTATAGGCGGCGGGTTATTAAAAGGGTAGTAACTTTATTTGTTTTGTTCATAATAGGAAGGATGATAAACTTCTAAAAAAAAGGTAGAGCTGAGATAAATCTAGTCATTTCAGAAAGTTCCAGCAAAGTTTGTTCCGTTTTTGAGATCGACTGAGAAAACGGTTACAATTCTATTTTATTAACATTCGCCATTCCTTGACAGTCTTTCTTGACAACGACTTTTGTACACAACATCATCAGCAATTATTTTATATAGCATACGGTTTTTAACTGTTAATATTCAATTTTCATAGGACTCAAAAAATGCTTTAATAACAACACGTGCAACTCATCATTGAACTTTAAAAAGTTACTTTACACTTTGGGCAAGACAATGTTTTGTTCTCTATTTTCCACAATACAACAAAAAAAGCTCAGTTGATACCAAGCAAAAAACAGCTGTAGGGCGCGATATACCACCAGACTACCGTTCTCTGCCTCTCCCAGCTCTCTACTTCTATAAAAGGTAGGACCGGGTGGTACAACAGAAACCCGAGATGCTCAGTAGGGACCGAAATGAACCTTAGAATTTAAGGGATGGTTTTCCAACAAGGGTTTTACTCTAGCTCGACTGGAAGTACTGGCTCGAAAGGATCGGGCTTCTGAAGGCACAGGTTCTCCTCAACTTGTGACCGAGCATCAGCAAACTCAGTTTAACATCAGTTTAAACAGATTCTTGTTGGAGAGCTCTGAGTGAACGATCTAGGATGTCCTCCATAAAAACGACTCGATTCATGTACAAGACAGGCGGTGGCGGCGGTGAATTGTCTAAGGAATATGGTATGGACATTGGCGCTCTAACTCGCCTCGAGGTAGGCTTACCCACTGGACAGCAATGTCCTGCACTAATTACTATATATATAACTTAAGTTTGGCTTGGAATATTACTTAGTGACATTCAGTAACATAATACTTAAAAAGGAGACACCCTCTGAGCTAAGATGAAATTATCAAAAGTTTGAAAGACAGAGCTTTTTTATGTTTGTTTGAAAGTTCGCCATACTTTCTCGACCATCGACGTCCTTACCTGAGCCACAAACTAAAGCATATGCACATCCTACTGGTTCACTTCTTTATATATTACATTGGTAATAATTTCTGTGAAATGTTTCTTTATTTATTTTAGAGCAAAACCACATTAGGCTACCTGCTGTGCCCACAGCATGGAATCGAACCCCAGATTTTAGCGTTGTAAGTCCGTAGACTTACAACTGACCCATTGGGGGACTTGGAGTAGTTGTTTTAATAATTCAATCCGCTGTGAACAGAACATATAGTCTTTTCTTTAACTTAATTCAAAACGATTTGATTTGTTACATTTTGGAAAGAAAATTATATTTTGTTCATGTCCCTAAATGTGACATTAGAGACTTACAAGATCAAACTTAACAGTTTACAAATTTTCTGGCACTTTATTAAACTTATAAACGTGGAGAGTATTACATCTAGGTGACATGCACACAAACAGCTCACATCGTTCAATAATTTGTTTTTGTTTTTACTATAAAGTATACTTGTTCTCTTCGTGTCATTGTGTCACAATTAAATCTTTCGCCTGTGCTGAGTTATAAGATACTTTCTCCTCCACCCTCAAAAAAGGCTTACTAACATAGTTTATATTTAAGCATTATGTTGAAAAAAAAATACTTTTTCACTATTAGAACTCACATGGTCTTTTAAAGATTTAACCTGTTGTTCGTTCTGCCCATGTCATTAATTTTCAGTAGATTCACCATCCGTCCACCTCAGGTATGTATGTATGTTTGTAATTAAGCACAAAGCTACACAATAAGCTATCTGTGCTCTGCCCACCACGGATATCGAAACCCGGATCCTAGCGTTTTAAGTCTGCAGACATACCTCAGGAGTTCTGGACAGAAATAATGAAAAAGCCCTTTTAAACATTACCGATTGATTATTTATTTTTTTTACTTTTTACCCTTTTAAGTAAATCGGTTATTGTATGGGTCACATTGATTACTGGAGTGCTTAATTTCTAAAAACAAACCAAAAAAAAGGTACAATTTTGAGAGATAACAGTTTAAAGTTATTGAGTCTACTATTTCTGATGGGGCTAGGGCGGAGTAATGTAATTATCTACCGCAATCAAATATCGATACGGTCTTAGAATTAAATAAGGCGTTTCTGCCTTTATATTAAAAGGAACCCAAACATATCCAGAGAAATTCGACAGAAATGAAGCAGTGAATTATTGCAATAAACTTAACTATTTTTATTAACCTTTACCAACAATCAACATGGCTGATAATATTTGAATAATATTGATTATCATATGGATTAAATTTACCAATAGAATAAATATAAATATTTAATTATGTTAAACAATAGTTGTAATCAAAATGTTTGACAATTGCGTGGAATGTACATCGATTAAAGTAAAATTAATTTAATTATTTCATGTTTGCTAATCTGCTGACTATGAAAATGTCTTATCATTTTTTGTATGGTAATGATTAAGTACAGTGGATTCAAATAGGTAAGTTTCCTAATTACAACACCGAGGTTGTTACCCTTACTTGTTGCGGATAGTCTACATTCAATGAAAATAAGACTTCACATTAGCCAGTTACCGAGATGGTGTCGTTTTCCCGTGACATAATGAAATGGGTTTTAAAATAATGGCATTTTGTTTATAAATCAACCACAAAACTCGTATTAGACCAAGATGGTGACTACCAAGTCTAGCTCATGCTGGTTACTAAGCTCAACGATGATTACCAAGTCTAGTTCGTGTTGGTTACCAAATTAAGCTCGTGTTGAGTACCGAGAAAGTGTTGACCTAAAATTCACTAATGAAGTCATAAACGCAGATATTATTAGACTAAAGATCGAATTTTATAGAAGTAACGTGCTTGTGATGAAGAGCGGTAAAGGTCTAAAAATCTATGTTTCTGCATTATTGCTGCAGGTGCGAATAAACTAAGTTCACAGTTATTTTAGTTTCCGCATTTTAATGAAAGAAAATATACTTATATATATACTCATTTTAGAAAATCGGTGAAGTGAAAACGTTGGCTGTTTGCCTGTCCACTAGTAGAAGTATATACTGTGATCTCAGCACTTCGCAACGTCAGTTTCGGGAGGTCGATTTTAGGCTCCTACCATAGTCTAAATTTGGCTTGCTTGAAAGACCGGCGATATTTATAACCGCGTTGCTCTTCACGTGGAAAGTTGCGTTTGGAGTTTGGTATTAAGATAGATTGAATATCACATTTCGAAATATTTCTATAAAACACATCACTTTGCGTAAGGAATAACTTCTTGAAATACGGGAAATATTTCAATTTTTTAGCAGAGTCTTGAAGATTCATGTCTTGAATTTAGTTTAGCAATTAAAAAGATTTCATACGTAATTTCGTAACTTTTGTTTTAATAGTCAGTACCTCTAATTTATCCGCTAAGTTATATATTTCTCCGGGAGAAAGACCAACGTTGTCGATGTACTACTTATTACTTGTTATTTGCCGTCATCGTTCGAACATTCATTTTATCATATTTTCGACGAAATGTTATGTTTTATTTATGTATATGCAAAAATAAAGACTTTTTAAGGTTACTTGGATTAGCAAATACACATATAATGCGTTTAACCAAATAACTTTTTTTCAGCTGATAACTAGGTCATTCTGAGGCATTTTCGTGCTGTTTGTTTGTTTGTAATAAAGCACAAACCCACACAATGGGCTATCTGTGCTCTGCACACCACGGGTATCGAAACCCGAATTGTAGCGTTGCAAGTCCGTAGACATTCCGCTGTGACACTGGGGGGCTTTTCGTGCTGTTTCAAAAAATATCGCTTGTTGTTTTGCTTATTTTTTATTCAAAATTGTCTTAATCTATGTCACTGTGACTCTTTGAAGCTGTTTTCTATTTTTATTACTCATATATCATTCTCGCTTTCCTTAAAGCTTTCTCGAAACTGGTGAGAAAAACTTCGTGAAGTTCGACCTTGGTCATAGGGTGACCAGATTTACAAATCGAAAAACTGGGACAGTCCAGCCTTTGCCCCTAATTTCAGAATGATCCTTGTTCTTTTTCTTGACAGTGTGATTCGTAATATCCAATCTGCCACTGTGTGCTATCGAAAACACAGATTTGCAAACAGTACGCTCAACTTTGTTATCCAACTCACTTGCCTTTAAAAGGAGAAATTTGCTTTCAAAGTATCCGAAAAAAAACACTTTTTTCGGCATTTTGACAGATGATAGGTTAAACATTTTCAATAACAAAAATATCTTAGAGAACTGTCCCTGCCGTTTACCAAACATTCACCAACTTTAATAGTCTACTACAATACTACTAACTAAAAAAACCTGCTCAGACCTGGGTTTCTCACCACGCACAAACGGAATTTTCGAGAAAGTTCGGCGGAATGAGAGTACGTGTTACAGCAATGAGGAAATCCGGTAGGCCTAGTTTACTCGTGATTCGATGGGACTAAGTTCTTTGTCTTTATCATAAAGCCGGGATGTTTTATGCGTCCCGAGAACTTTTCTCTGGACAATGGGACAAATTACCAAGAAACGGTTTTGCCGGGACATCTACTCACCCTACCCTTGACTTGAGTTATTCTTATTCTTGTTTTATGCTTCTGTGAAACCAAGAACTCCTCCAGTCAAAGAGAGAATTTAATTATAATGAGTAAGCTTCACCCTCTTCATTTTAATTCGTTTTAAAGCTACATTAAAACCAATCAAATTTCGTAATTACAGAGAAATCACTGTGTTCTTCTTTAATTCATTATAAAGTATAGCACGTGCCTATTTTAAGATTATAAAAAACTAGCTGGCTTAAGATTACTTACATGGCACCATATGATAAAGAGCCATTAAAAGCCCTGGTTAGGAAAACAGGATGCCTAGTATACGAAGTGCCGTCTCTTCAGAAAAGTTCGTCTGTGACGTCACAGCGTATGGTAGAGGGTTCTTGTGCTAGTCAGCTCTTATTAAGCAAAATGACCTTGTAGATAACTATAAAAAAAAACTCAAGTATTTAAAAAGAAGTTTTGATTATGCTTAATAAGATATTTATATTGCCGTCCATTTGTTCGTTGTTGCTTAGGCGGAATCTGATGGTACACTGATCTAATTTCAAAGATAAAATTCAACATGATCGATTTTCGTTACTTTTTTAAAGAAATGTTGGCCTCCAAAAGAAACTGCACTGAAAATTTCCAACAAAAACTTTTACGAAAAGGAAAGTATGTGTTAAGCCTATATTACTACTTAGAATAATATTACGTACGCTATTTTCAGGCCGTAACAACATTGGACAAGCCAGCCAAGCAAATTATGTTTATTATTTCTTTTTCGATCAAAGTGCGAAAAATAGTTGTGGTGCTAAATGTAGAAATTAAGTTTTAATAGTACTGGGCGAACACGAGCAGTTTCTGTAGTTGTGCAATAAAAGTCAGTGCAGAAATATCAAAGATAAGTTTCCTAAGTATCAAAATAGTGTTTTATGTTATATGCACCTCCTTAAGATTAGTATAATTGATTTGTAATTCAAGTTCTGTGAAATGATGATATCAGTATCTCAATATTTAGCCGCATTTTAATTATTACTCATACATTAAAATCAAGAGATCTGACTAAGAAAAAAAAAGGCCAGAAATTCAGTTTGATCTTCAAAAATTTAACTACGATGTTTTATTTCTGATGTTCTATTATGAGACTGCCCCCTTCCTTCCCGAAAATGATATATTTGTTAAATAATTTTTAATTTTGAAACTTTGTTCGATTAAGTAATAAACTTAACCTCATCTTTAGTAAAATAATTAATATTGTTTAAGTAAATAAATATCGTGAAACATAAATATATATATATGGGTATTAAGGATGAGTTATGGCTTAAATGTTTAGACCCGAATCTATGTGAGTTTTTCAGCTTCGGATCCTAGCTAAAATGAACCTCCAAACTTTTGGTTAAATCCGAGTTCGAACATAAAAAATATTTTTAAGTCGACAATGTTTCTAAAAAAGCACAAATCAAATATAGCCTGAGTCCGACATAATAATATAAATTAAGGTCCAATCGGGTCAAACAAATTTAGATCCCATCGGATATGTGTATCGTAATAATAGATTTATATATTTAACCAAATCGATTATAGTAATAGACTCAAGCCCCTTTTATTAGCCAGAATATGCACTTATTCTTTAATTTTTAAATAAACCTGAAATTTTGACTTGATAGTATAAACGTTCTTTTATGCAAGTTTTCTACTAGTATGCTTTTCTTCGAGCAGTTTGAAAGCATTTGGCATAAAATTACAAACACTAATTGCGACAAACTTAGAAATAAATTGATGAGAAAAATAATAATTTATTTAAGTTGTAAACTTAATGTAACTATTGTTTAATTCTAAAAAAAACTTTTTTCATCCATGTAACATTAAATATATAAATGAAAACTAATTTTTATAGCAATTAGGCTAAATTCACAAAAACATTAAGCCTAAGATACGACAAGGTAAGTAACAAACTTGGGTAAAAGAACATTGGTTAATGACAATATAAAAAGCACATTACATAGAAAGCGGTAAATATGAAATAAAATAAATAATAAACCTAAACGATACAAAAATGGCTACTGTGATTAAAAAAAAAGTAATAGGCATTAAAAATGTAAAGTGGATGCACGACAAAAAAAAAAAAATTACGATTTCATGATAAAAAGAATAAACTTATTAAAAAGTGTTACTGTGGACAAATGATACACTGGAAAAGAAAAATGACCTAAAATTAATTCAAAACAATAAAATTATAACAAACCTGAAATAAACTGTTGTGATAAAATAGCATTAAGGAAACATTAAGTAAAGAAAAATGATTTTTAAACACAAGTGCCGGTAGTGGAGATTTTTCCCGATTTGAAAATGTGAATTAGCTACAGTAAATGGTGAAACAAGAAATGAAACAGGTATGATAGCTGTTTACCGTGTAACTAAACTGAATAACTAACAAAAATTGAAAGAATAAATAGCTAGAGAAATTCATTCAGTTAAAATGTTTCGTATGATTGTAATGATATTGACGGGTGTGTTATTCTCAATAATTGCAGAAAGACGTCTGAAGTGACGGCATTAAGAAGTTTGTTTGCTGTTAAGCGCAAAGCTTCATAACGGGTTAGCTTTGTTGTTCCCCTCCCTCCACGGGTTTCGAACATCGATTTTTAGAGTTATAAGTTATACACTCTTAGACTTACTGCTGAGATACCGAAGAGATCATCAAGAAGTCTTTTACTTTACGTTTAGTTTCTATTTTCAGTTATTACGCACTCATGACGTCATGCATGACAAAATTGAATGCTTTTCTATAGTTGGAAGGTGACTGTTGTTCTTGTTACTAGAAGAGTAGCCAAGACCATGCGGAAAAGAAAAGTTAGGGACTTTAAAATACAAGAGTTATCTGTATGAGTTACTAGCCTGCTACCAAAAACTAAACATAAAAAGGCAGGTAGAAAATTAACTGTTTTCAAATGGTTGCACTAATTATTTACATCTTATTTACTAACTTTTATAATGTGGTATTTCACAAGTAAATCATGAAAAAAAAATAAGTACATTTATTTGAGAATTTTTCTTTTCTTCACTGAAAATACGTAGGGATCTAATTCATTATTTGATTCGCTACTCCTTCTACAATAGGCTATAGCTATTTTCGCCGAATCAGGGCTTTTCGGTACTGTTTGGGGAGCGAAATAATGAAATACAATTAGGTCGCTTGTATATTTTAGGTTATTAATGGTGAGTAAAAGACTTCACACCCAAACATACAAATTAAAAAAAAGTTATTTTTCACAAATTTAGCATGGTATTATCAAAGTAAAAAAAACAACTTTTGAGGTTTTATTGAAAAAGTTAGTAGATACGGAAACTAGGAACAATACCGTAATTCGTACACTGAAACATCTTTTTTAAAGTTTGTTTGAAAAAAACGTAAATTACCTAAACTCATATATCCATTAGTAATACTTCTCTTTAAACAGTAATTATTTCTACTGTTATATTTACACTTTAAATTAAATCTCGGGGTATACAGAAAGGTGTGTCTGTTTTACCGCCAAGTTACACGATGGGCTACCTACAATATCAAACCCAGAACTTTAACGTTAACCCTTACTGTTGAGTCACCAGAGTACTATATAGAAAGTTGTTTTTCCAGTGATCAAGTGCTGAAAAACGTTTGAACGTCTAAGTGTTGAATCACTTCTTTATTATAAGGAATTCAGTATGCGTTTATCTTAGTTTGCTGTAAGTGACGCCATAGTTTGGAAAAAACGTACCAAAAATATTTCTTGAACGACCAACCGCTTCTTGTGTCTTTCTACAGATTGTGGATATATTTTTCAACTGTATTTTTACATTTCCTGTCTGTTTATCTTCTTTGGGACCACGGCCTACACTTTGTTGTAAATAAGATCCACGAAAGGCTCAGTTTATGAGTCATCAGTGATGGAATGGAACAACACGGCTGTAATAGAAAGCTGAGAGATGCGTCGTTTATATTAGTCAAGCCTCGGTGTTGATAATGTATAGTTTCTTTTATCGAGGGCCCGAAAAAAAAATCGAAAATTCTTATTTGTAATGTATTATAGAATTGTTGTACATATTTTTTTCTAAATATATCGCCCCTTTTATATTTCATATAAAACTGAACTAAGATCCAAAGGACCTCATTATAAGTTATATATATATATAAACAAACAGATAGATAAATAGATAGATAGATACATGAGTTAGAAAAAAACATTAATTTCGAGATGATAACATATTTAAGTAGCATTTAACATAACATAAATGACAATTACAAAAATGTAAGAAAAATGTTCTGTTTCATTACTTGATTTTTCTATTTCTTCAGTTTTCATTCTAAAATTCATGCTTCAAGTATTATTGTGGATCACTTTGATAGACTTTATACACTTTGCTACTTTATAAATCAATATCAATACATTAGACATAATGGTAACTTGACTCCACAGCTCAGCATACGAACCAAACGACCTGAATTATTTTAGTCGTTTCTTGGACTCGGTAAAGTAGAATATGAAAATATCACGTCCGTGCATTCCGCTGGAGCTTATAAAATGTAGTTACGTGTGTATTCAGATAAAATATTTTTCAAAATTTCACTGCGAACATCTGTGCTTTTACCTTTATCATTTGTTTACTGAGTTGCGGAAATTTACTTAAAGCACGAAGAGCGAAACTTAATCATAAATACGAAAGGTGACCACTGCATTAAGTAGCTGTCATGTAAAATTCCTTGTTTTTCGTAATCAAAATTAAAAAGATGTATATTGCCATTTTTCTTTCGGCTCGTTTATGATGTTAAAGAATTTAAAGTTCACAAACTCTTTGGCTTCTGGGATATGCACATAATTCATATCTCGGTTCCAGCTTGCAAAGTTTTGTAAAAGTCACTGAATATATGAAAGGATTACACCACCTTACAGTATTTCAATTCATTAAACATGCTCTTTCTGAGAAAAGTTGTCAAAAGTCAGTCCAGAAATAACTTCAAGTTCATTTCGTGTAAAACATTTCGGTCACTTTAAAGTGTGATATATTAAATTGAAAACCAGCTCGTTGTAATAAGATAAGGATTACTAAAGTGAAAATCAAATATATTTCTCTCTGTTCTGCAAAACTAACCGTTTGTTCTTTTTCGCAGGACAAAATCCGTCTTCTCCATGAAGATCTAGATTCAGAGCGTGAGCTCAGACAACGGGTAAGCATTGATTTTAGCATATTATTGATGATACTAGAAAACTTAATATTTCATATGGTAAGAGTAATTTTCTATAAAAAAAATTGGTGGTGAACCTATAATTTCATTGTTTAATTATAGTTTTCATAAATAAGAAAGAGGTTAAGCAGATGATGTACAATTTAACCGACTGCTCAAACAAAAATATATTAAATTTAAAAGTTACGATTTTGAACGCCAAAAGCTGGTGGTGAGTCATTGTAAACCATCAGGCCTAGTAACAGCTGTTTGACGTGATTGTTATCATAAATGTTAGGCCCGTTGCATACTAGCACAAGTACTATTTTTGCTGACACCGAATGATTTGTACACGTTTGCTGGATGTTGCGAGAAGAAAAAATTATATTAAAATTTCAAGATTTCCTGTAATAATGAATGAAAAACAATATATATATTATGAGTTACTGGAATTCGAATAGTTAAACTTAAGGTTTCTAACAATAGGTGGGTATGGATTTCTAGTTTGGTTACTAAGCGAACTAAACCTTGTATTTCATTAGCTTACAATGTGCAATTGATGTTTTGATAATATTGCATTTTGCTGGCCTATGGGGATAAACAGAGAAAGAGATTAAAATGTAAAATAAAAAAAAATTCAAGTATTTAGTTTAGACTGAATAAGCTACAATAAATGTATACTTCAATTCAGGGTAAAAAACTAATTGTATAAAGAGGGGAAAAAAAAACCTCCGCAGCTCATATTTCGTAGCAGATCGAGGAGGGGACCAAAGGGTCCAGACCCTCCTCTCCAATGAAAAAAAAATCGAAGGAAAAAGTAAAACATTACATGTGTTATAAATATTATACTTAACTGTTATTGGGCATCGTTTATGCTCATATTCCTGTACGAAAGGGGATCTGGGCCGTCTGTAACGTATATAATGTTGTAAATATTTTTTGTTTTGTTTTTCAAATATATTACGTTCGATTTAAAACCCTACCACAGGTCTTTCAAGGAGACCTTTTCTTCAGTATGAATATCAAACATTCCATCCTTCTCTCTAACCAATTCATTTGATGAACAGCGTTGGATATAATTTTATTCCAGGGATCACTTCAAGATCCTGATTCCAACCATAAGCCTTGTAAATGAAGGATATTATGTTCTCTATGTTAGTAAGTACTGGTCATTCTGATTTTTTATTCCTAATTTGCCAATGAGAGTGACCGGCAAAAATCAATGGAATGTGTCTGGAACTGGACTTAGAGAGATTGCAAATTTCAAAAAGTCTTCAAGTTTTAAAGGGGGGTAGGCTCACCTCTCAGTTACTTCGGTATTTTCATTTGGACTCCGCCTCCTTTTTGAAAATCCTGAAAGTCCTGCAATTTTAACGTGATTATTTTTTAGCTTCCTTTAGAAAAAGTGAAGCAATGTAGATTATAATATTTCGTTCAAAATATAAAAAAGATAGAAACTGGAGTTTCTGTAGTAACCAGTGAAAAAAGTTAATTAACCGGTTTAAATACAGGTTTTCATCAGAATGCTTTCTGTTGTTTAAACATATCTTCTTTCTGAATACTGTCCTACTTTCTGTTGCTAAGAATACTGTATGTACTTGTCGTTATCGGATGAGCCTTTGAGACTAAAATTAACCTCTCTTGGCAACATGCTCACAGTTTCTAAGGCATGGTGAAGTTGAGCCTAAAGAAACATTGATTTATTTTATAGATTGTAGCAACTTCACTGTATGTTACAAATCGGAAGAGATGAGAAGGGAGTGTAAATTTTGTAAATAATAACAACACATAATAATGATGATGATGAACAACTCTAGGGTCTTTACCTGCAAGTAACATAAACATATGAAAAATCCTTAGGTGTGATGTTACAACATTGTTTAATTTCTACTATGTGTTGTTTGATATGATCTTCATTAGTAGTGTGTTTCTCGTTATCTAGATCATTATCGTTAATGGAAATCAAAATTGTAGTTTACCCAACAAATTGACCTACAAGTTGATTGTGGCAGATTTCTCACATTGATGGTGCTTTATGCACTTGCTTCGGTCAATAAAAAACATTGTTGGTGCTTTATGCACTTGTTTCATTTAATAAAAAAACATTTTTGACGTTTATGCACTTGTTTCTTCCAATAAAAAACATTGTTAGTGCTTTATGCACTTGTTTCATCTAATAAAAAAACATTTTTGACGTTTATGCACTTGTTTCGTCCAATAAAAAACATTGTTGGTGCTTTATGCACTTGTTTCGTCCAATAAAAAACATTGTTGGTGCTTTATGCACTTGTTTCGTCCAATAAAAATCGTAGTTGGCACTTTATGCGCTTGTTTCTTTTAATAAAACCATTTTGGCTTTTTATGCACTTGTTTAGTTTGATAAAAAATCGTTGGTGCTTTATGCACTTCTTTCGTTTACTAAAAAACATTGGTGGTTCTTGTTTAGTTAAATTTAAAAAAAAACATTGTTGGTGCTTTTTACACCTCTTTTATTTAATAAAAACTTTGTTGATACTTTATAGACTTGTTAAGTTTAATAAAAAAATCCTTAAACAATGAAAAATGCATAAATGTGCCTGACAGCTTGCATATATTATTATCCTTAAATGGAATTAGCCTGCGAGTTAGAAGTTTTCTTGAACTTATCTATTACACTTCATGTGTATTACGTCAAAATACATTACCTATGATAGCTTATAATATTTTGTTTTTTTTATCGTAAAATATGACTGAGAGATTACTGTGTGAATAAGGGATGTATAATTTGTTTTATTTTTGTTGAAAATAGTGAACTAAACTTTTTTTTAAAGTCAAAATCCACGTAATAGTTTTCAATTCTTGAGGCTGTTAGCTTTAATTACATCAAACGTCTATAAGTGACATTTTGATAGAGTTTGGAGATCGGACCACGTATTTTTAAAACAGAAAAGAAAAACCAATGGTTTAATTGTAAGCATAAAGCTACACATGAGCTATCTGTGCTTTGCCGACCATTTTGTTGAACTACAGGTTTATAGCGGCACGAGCCCTCAGACTTACCACTAAGCCACTGGGGGCAAAAACCAACCGAATTTTAAACTTGATAAACTCCTCTACCATACCATATTTACTGTGAAATATTAAATATTTGTCTTTAAATTACTTAGATACATATAAAAACTATAATTTTCCTTATTCATTTGTACTTAACTGATCTTCAGTTCTGATTCTATTCAAATTGTTATCTTAGTCTTATAATTGGATTGTTGATGTATTAATGAAAAGTTACACAATGGTCTATCTGCTCTCTGGTCACTGCAAGAAGGAATCGAATCCAGGATTTTAGTGTTGTGAAGCTGTAAATTTACCGGTGAACCACAAGGGGGCGGCGATCTTGTTATTAGATTAACAAAGCCTTAACTTATTTTCTGTCGTCTAAGCACTGAAAAATAAATAATATCCTAGGAATGTAGCAAAAAATAAGAGTTGTTTGGTTTGGAATTAAGCACAAAGCTACACAATGGGCTATCTGTGCTCTGCCCACCACCAAAAAATAAGAAGAAATAACTCTATTTAATCTTGTGATTTATTCATTCAACAAAATGACGACTATAAGATTTAAAATATGAAGCTTCTTGTTTCATGTGACTTTTTGGGAGAGTCAGTAGGAGTTTCTTTTAAACATTCGTGTTTTATTCAGATCGAGCGGGAAAGGAATGATTTATCTGTTCAGCTGATGCAGTATGCCGATCGACTGGAGGAGGCCGAAGGAAGCAGCGAGTCACAAGTAAGCTTTTACATTTCACAGATCTAGATGCAAATTTCAAAGTGTTTACTATATGTAAACTTGTTTCATTTCTCTTTACGACCACCTTGTACAGTTTTATTTTTCTAAGAGTGAGACTTGCCTTCAAAAACAACTAGAACCAAAAATTCATACAGAACTGCTGTATAATCATACACTTTTTTTTTCACTCTGAGGTCGAGATGAACAAAAAGAGAGATACAGAGCTGGCAAAGTTGCGAAAGCTCTTGGAAGATACGCATTTGGAAAGTGAAGAAAATGCCCATCATCTACGCAAGAAGCACCAAGAGGCTATCGCAGACTTCCAGGACCAGCTTGATAGCGTTCAGAAAGCTAAGGCTAAGTAAGACACCTGAAAGTTAACACTGTTTTTTTTTCTGTACTTAATTGAAGATGAATATTCGAGATTTAACCAGAAAAAACAGGCACACAACTGAAAAACTCTTACAATCCAGATTCTCAGAACATGGTGAATGCGGCATCTTAAAACGAAAATTCATGGAGTTCTTTGAGTATCTTTTTGGTTGGTTCAATAAAAAATGGCTTATATTAGCTCTGCTAAAACAATCTGTTTAGATTAAATCACTATGTCCGTGACATTAAAATGTCATCCTAATATTCTAACCATTAATATACTCATAACCATTAGGTTTTGCAACACACCTACCAGATGTTTCGAATTTACAGTAAAATAAATAAAAAATGGCAACCAGCGTTTTATCAAAGTGGCATCTTAATTTTGTTTGTCCGTTGTTTAGCACAAAGCTATACAATGAAGTACCTATGCTCTGCCGCGGGAATCGAAACCTGATTTTTAACGATATAAACCCTCAGACTTACCGCTGAGTCATAAGGGGCGGGTATCTTAACGTTATAATTGTTCGTAAACCTGGAGCCATAAGACATTTTGAATTTACTGTAAAAAAAAAAAAAAGAAGTCGACTAGTGTTTGAAATGTCTTTTGAAATACTTCTGTATTTGAATTAATACCAACTAGATGAAATTAATAGAAATTTAAAAATAATACTTATTTCTAGTAATGTTTATATTAATCAAATTACTTGTAGTATAGGTTAGTAAGAAAATGACCGGGATTATTAAGTGAAAAGTCAGTGCGATAACCAGGAAAATGTTTCTCGGGGAAAAATGGGGTGTGGGTGGGGATTGGTGAATAAGTGACTTCATTTCGTGTAGTAAAGAAAACTGGATGAAATGATTTCCTCTGAAATTTCGAGGTGGTGGGTTTAAGCTAAGCTCTCCAGTTAAGTCTATTTTACTAACCTAGGAACGTGCTATTTTTTGAGGAGCAGTATTATATATAATTTTAAAATTCTACAGGGCAAAAACATAAATTAATAACTATGACCTGGTGTGAAATTATAATGACTTTCTTTACTGCAGGATCGAGCGAGAAAAGCAAAAGTTCCAATCCGAAGTGTACGAACTGTTAGCTCAAGTTGAAAGTGCAAATAAGGACAAGGTAAGTGCTGTATGAAATTCCAAAACTCAAACCGCAGAAGTGAGTGATATTTGAATGTGTTACATTACTACATTTGACTCGAAAAAATAAATGGATATAAATTGTTTTTTATTTAAGTTACGAAGTTTGTTCCTTTCTTATTAATTTCGAGCAAAGCTACACGAGGGTTATCTGCGCTAGCCGTCCCTAATTTAGGTATAAGACTAAAGGGAAGGCAGCTAGTCACCACCACCAACTGTTGGGCTACTCTTTTACCAACGAATAGTGGAATTGACGGCTGAAAGGGCGAGCATGTATGGTGTGACGGGGATTCGAACCCGCGACCTGCAGATTGCGAATCGAGCGCCCTAACCACCTGGCCATTATGTTAATTGATATTTCAGTTAATTTTTTTCATCGTAGATTAAAGTTTCCTAAATACTCGTTAACTCATATTTTTAAAAGACAAGAAACTATTTTTTTTAAAATCTCTATATGTTAGTTGGTTGGGTGTTAGGCACAAAGCTACACAGTTATCGAAACCTGATTTTTAACGTCGTAAGCACGCAATCTTTCCATGTAATTGAAAACTAGATTTCTTTTGTTAATATATCTAAACCTCCACATTACATTAAAATAGATTAAGATCTCGCCATGGTGAGGTACGTTGTATTAGTTATCAAGAGGAGAAGAACTTTATCTCAAAGTTGTGGATAAATATTGTAAATTTAAACACGTTTTTTATATTTTTTAGTTTCTTAAATCTAAGCATTTGTGAAATGCATACTGGCTACCTTGTCTTTATTATCTTACAGCTTACCTCACAGAAGTCTGTGGAGAGATTGGAGCACACCGTCTACGAGCTGAACGTCAAGATTGAAGAGCTGAACCGAACTGTCACTGAAGTTACGTCACAGAAATCACGCTTGAGCTCCGAAAACACTGAGCTGATCAAGGAAGTCCAAGAATACAAAGTCTCCATTGATAACATCACTCACATCAAAACACAACTGGCCAATCAATTGGAGGAAACAAGGCGTCAGCTGGAAGATGAAGAGAGGGTAAAATCATTTGCTTACATAAATAGGCTTTCCGCAAATGAATTACTTTTCAGTGGGGAATATTTGAACAAAGGCAAAATGCAAAATATCTTGGGGAATATTCAGACGTCAGAAAGTAAATCACTCTAAATTAACGTTGATACATCGTTGAACAGAGCGATTTAAGTTAGATTCATAATTCTTCATGTCATATGCTGCACAATATATAGATGTATTTATAAATTCACCAAGTAACAATGAGATATTAATGAATTAAGTATACTGCAGTTTCATTGGTCGTTTGTTCAAATGAATATCCATTTTACAGAAAAGATCTTCTCTTGAGCAACATGCTCACACGATGGAAGTGGAACTTGAGTCTCTGAGGGTCCAGATTGAGGAAGAATCCGAGTTTCGCCTGGAGTTGGAGCGACAGCTGTCTAAAGCAAATGGCGAAGCCTCCACTTGGAAATCTAAGTATGAGACGGAAGTCCAGTCTCACCAAGAAGAAGTAGAAGAATTACGGTAAGTTAGAAGTAAGAAACAGATTTTAAAAAAATGTTCCAAAAATTTACTTTTATCTTCGGAAGTTCAAGATGCGTCCACTTCTGTGGTATTTAAACATTATTACCGATAATAGTTAAAATATCGGTCCTAAAACCAGATCGACCATAATATTCATAACATCTCGTGAACGGGAATTAGATCTTTTCCTGTTCGCATATGTTAAGAAAAATGAGCATTTGGTGGATAACTAATCGCAATTTATTGAAATGTTTCTCAAGGGTGGCTATCTATTTGAATTATTCCGGTTCACTAAAAGTTTGTTCTGATTTAAATCTATTGAAGTCCCGTATAGAAGCTGTTTGTTATATACGGTATGCCACATCACAGTTTGAACAAAACGACAGTTTGAACTAGTAATAAAAGAATTGCGTGGGCAAGGAAAGTACAAAATCTAAATTCATACATAAAACTATATATTGCTAGAAATTTGTGCCAATCGACATGGAGTTTTAAAAAATTATTATTATTTCGAATATGGCACTTACTTCAACTACAGATAGAATAACAATTACCAATCTAGGTGTAGACTAACTGGTAAGGGTTGTTTACTTTGTGACTTTTCTTTCACACACAAAGTTTACCTTCCTTCGCTTCAATGAACAACTTTACAGTTTATGCTGAAATCTAAATCTTTTGTGAATAACATTCAGTGCTAATATTATTCGTGGGTTAACAGCATTTCGTAATAGGTTATAAAATTTTCTTTTTTCGATAGCCGCAAAATGGCTGCCAAGACAGCCGAGTACGAAGAGCAGTTGGAAGCCCTTTTGAATAAATGCAGTAGCTTGGAGAAACAAAAGTCCCGACTTCAGAGTGAAGTGGAAGTGCTAGTGATGGATCTTGAAAAGGTAAAATCTCTCTACGTGTGTTTAGTAACATGAGAGAGAAAAAGTCTTGGCAACAAACTTTTAAATCTTTGAAATCCTCCGTTTTATACATTTAGAGAAGGAAGTTAAATAATAAAAAAAAAACAGAATTTTATTCGGGATACAATTTCGTTACGTAAAATTACTAATAGATTTTGATCAGTCTTTTTATAAAAACTTATACCGGGTGTAAGCTGGAAAAGACCTATCTCTATCGTGAGGATGTTTTATGGTATCGGACACAGTTTTTTATATTTATATGCTCTGCAGTTTCTTCTAACACGGTCAACAAGCAATTATCAAAGTCATGTGCGAAGTTCATAAGTAAGGTTTATATTGTAGTATTTATACTCAAAAATGTTCGTTTAATCTTGCTGTTCTTAAATCAAATCTGTCGTTACATGTAGTTGACTTTATATAACCTGTTATCTTGCGGCGAACTGTTGAAGTTTATGGTACAAAGCGGTGATTTCATAGCCAAAATTAAAAAAGCATGTGATTGGTTGTTTCTAGTGCAAAGCTACACAATGGGCTGTCTGCGCTATGTCCACCGGGTGGAAATCAAACTCCTGATCTTAATGTTGTAAGTCCACAACTGAATGAACACACAGATCCAAAGCAATTCTAGACGCATCTGAAACTATTCACAAACAATCAAAATGCTCATAAAACGTATCCTACACTAAACTAAAAAGGCATTTAAGGAACGATGAAAGATCACATTAAAACTACGTGATGAACCAGATATAAACACTCATTATTTTAATATGCTAAATGAGCATGTACTACAAAACAAACACAATATACACACACCGAGATTTCCAGCTAACGCCATTAACCCTGGAGATACACAACAAATAAACAAAAACAATTATGCTAGCAAAATTACAAATACAATCGCAAAAATCGAAGTCATCACATTCACAAAACAGACACAAAACCAAACTCTGTAAGAAGACGGCATTCAAACTATCCTTCATAAAACAGGCACCCAGGAATTGTTTGACCGTTTAAAAGTACTGTTTAATCTATCCCTGAACTCAGGTTATATCCCAGCCTCTTGGAAGCAAGCAAATGTTCTTACATTCCTAAAGGAAGGTATACCAGGAATAGACCAGAGAGTTATCGTCCAATCAGTCTGATCAACTGAGTTATCGTCCAATCAGTTCGACCAGCTGAGTTATCGTCCTATCAGTCTGACCAGTTGAGTTATCGTCCAATCAGCTTGACCAGCTGAGTTATAGTCCTATCAGTCTGACCAGTTGAGTTATCGTCCAATCAGCTTGACCAGCTGAGTTATCGTCCAATCATCCTGACCAGCTGTGTATGCAAAAGTTAGAAGTCACGTCAAAATTACCTACAATACAAGACGGTTTCAGAAAATTTCAGCACGCCACAAGTCATCTAGTTAGGTTAACTGAAACCATAGTAGACAGTTTTAATAAAAGCACTGTCGGCTGCTTTCTCGATATAGAGAAAACATTCGACACTGTATGGCACAATGGTCTACGATTCTGCATGAAACAAATGGAACAGAAACTGCAGAATTAATATGGAAGGTACCTACTCAGAGTACCTTGTTTTTGAGGCACATGTCCGCAAAGAAAGAATGGTTAGCCCTGTCCTTTTCATTATGTATGTAAGAGACATTCCCCTAACAGATCCAAATGTTAGTTTTAGTTCTCAATTTGCAGACGATGTGACGATATGGAAGAATTCCACGACCCTCTCAATAGCCACCACAAACCTACAACCAGTACTGAACCAAATAATTGAATACTGCCAAAAACATGGAATTAAAAAAAATGTTCCAAAAACAAAACTGATACTCTTCTCGAAATCTACCAAAACACATAGACACCCACACTTATATGGAACTCGTCTCCATATTTCCACATCGGAAAAATGTTTAGGATTAACAAACGATTCCAAATTAACATGGATAAATCATATTTCTCGAATAAGAAATAAAGAATGGCTACGAGCAAACTACACTAGGAGGCTGTCAGGTAAAAACACAAGAGTAACGCCGGCCAAAAAATATCATTAAAATATATAAACAGTATATACGTTCAGTAATTGAATCTACCATCAACATGTTTGATATAGCTATCTATGGAGCTAAGTAGGTAATTTTTGTGTACGTTTTTGACGAAATATCTGAACTAACCATCTAGGAGTCTGTTGTTGAGTGCCTGTGCACTTGCATATTTGTGCATAAATACTGAGTTTGTTGTTTTAGGTACTTTGAATGCTGAGTGATTATTGAGTTTTGTATTGTCTGTTATGTCTTAATATGAGTCGGTGCAATATTAATCCACGACGGACAGGCTTCCCTAAAAATCTCTCTTCCACTCAATATGTATCATAAGAAAAAGCCCACTTACAGCTATAGCCTACAAAATATTACTTAGATTAAGATATTAAAAGTATATTTAAAGGGTATTTATCTAAAATACGCGTCTAATAACTTAATCAAATGAATAAGTGTTGATTTTGCCAACTGAACTGTTTGTGAAGTGTAGGCTGTTGTTTGTTTATTAAGCACAAAGCTACATAAAGTGGTAAAAGTCCGCAGACATACCACCGTGTCACTTGGGGGAGTGAAGTGTAGGACTGTTACACAACCAAATTAAGAAAAGTGGTAAAAAAGCACTAAATGCTACAAGTGTCAGTGTAATTACGTGCGAAGTGTGTGTGAACCATGATCTCATGGTGTAAATCATCTATTTAACATTTAATATAAAATAAATAATCTGTCAAATAACGTTTGTTTATAACTGAGCACAAAGCTACACAATGGGCTATCTGTGCTCTGCCCACCACGGGTATTTAAACCCGGATTCTAGCGTTGTAAGTCCGCAGACATACCGCTGTGCCACTGGTGGGGGCAAACCATCAAAGAGGGGGAAAAGGTCTTCGTAATACTTGACTCTCCAGGTCCGAAAAAACACGACCAAAAACCAATCAATCGAGAAATAAAAAGTCCATAAACTTACCGTTGACCCACCAGGAAACATAAAAAACTATTGTGGTCTTTCTGTTCACATAGTTTGTTTATTATGCATAAAATACACATGCTCATTACTCTACTTCAGAATTCTTCTCTTTTACTTTATCCTGAACATTTAGAACAGCTCCACTAATAGTATTCACTAGTTCTGACTACTTCTGATTGTGCAGTTACTGAAAAGAAAAAGAGAGAGGAAGAAATTAAAAAATATACCCTTAAGCAACCATTCCCACTGAAAATTCGAGATACCAATTTTCTTGATACAAAATCTTAATATGATTTTTTTCCCGCAACAATATTTAGAAATAAATGCCAGTGATCAAAACGTTAATGTTTACAAGTCTTTATGTCGTCTGTATGGTTAAGTTTTATAGATTATACTGTATACACAAAAAGGTCACTAGAATGCGCCATTCCAGGTTTACATTTCAAAACTTTCTTGGGGGAGGCTCCCCGAACTCCTAAAAGCGTGAAAGGGAGAACCTCTTTCCCCACACTCCTACTGTGCGTAACTAACATTTATGCTTCATTGTGCCTCTAGAAACGGCATTAAAGGTACTAACTGAACCATAATTACTCGGGTTCTTAACATTTATGCATTACGTCGGAGTGAAGTGAGCAGATTAGGACTTGGTTGCTATTGACGATAATTTCATGTTTTATAAATTATTGCATGTGATCTGCAACATCTGTAAATATTTCCAAATTATTCGTTAAATAACTTATTATGGTGAGTTGTAAAACTTTTTCAACAGTTATACACTTCTTAATTAACATCATTTTCTGTGCGTGTAATCACATTCAGGAAACTATATAGTTTATTTTTGTAACTTTTCAGGCTACTACGTATGCCCAGAATCTTGAAAAGCGAGTGACGCAGCTTGAGAAAGTGAACGCGGACCTGAAGTCTAAGAATGAAGAGCTCACTATCATTTTGGAACAAACTCAGCGAGATTTGCGCATTAAGATCACTGACCTTCAGAAGTTACAGTATGAATACGACAAGCTGAGAGAGATAAAGGAAAACCTTGCTCGAGAAAACAAGAAACTAACAGGTATACATAGAATATTTAAAAAAGTTTCGAGTTATACGCTTTTACCATTATTATCATTTTTTTTTTACTTTTGTAATAATGCCGGATTAGTTTTGTAATTTATACTAGCTATTTTCTGTTCACAGATTATCTACATTTTCAAACTAATTATTAGCTTTTCCAAGTACAGAGAATTGGTCATAATACATGAAGCACACAGTTAATTTTTATGTGTTTTGTAAATAAGTTATATCCCACTATTTGTTTAATGTTCGTTTTATTAACACTATTGAACAAAATGTTTAATATATATATATACATTATTATTATTTTGCATTTATAGCTTCGTATTTGGATTTAAAATTAATCTAAATCTCCTAATTGACTGAACTTAATGAGATATTATTAGGATTACGGCCGAAAATATCGTTGACAGCAAGGGTATCAAACCAATGAAACAGTCATTCTAATCTATATATTTGTTGTTTTATGACTGCTTACATGTACTTGGAACGGTATTTTAATAAATTATATTAATTACTGTGGTAATCTTTTGGTTCTTATTTATTTAGGTAGCTTGCTTTGATAAAAAAAAAGTAAATCAAGGCTAGTCTTTTCTTATTTTAATCAAGTTTTTTCTGTAATCATTCAATATTAGTTGTATATTTTACACTATTTGTTTGGTTTAGAGCAAAGCTGCAGCACGAACTAGTCTGTACTATGTCCAGTGCAGGAATCGAACTCCAAACTATAGCGTTTTAAGCCACGAATCTTACTGCTGGACCACATTAAAGTATAGTATCACCCGCATTACAAAATTAAAGAAAAGCATAATTCATCAATTTCTTGTTGCAGTGGTGGATCCAGGATTTTGAAAACGGTGAGGCGCGATAATTCTAAACGTAAACGAGGAATTTTCGGGACTTCCCTGGAGTGGTTAAATGGGTTATTTAGATTTGTTATAATGTTTGCTACATGTTGTTGTTACTGCTTTTTTATTTTTTATTTTTGAATTTAGTACGAAATTTCACTACATTCTTCCCTCCTCAAAGATCCAATGTTTGCAATTATTTTGATTTTATTTTCAAAAAAAAACTGGGGAGGGGCGCCTAGCGCGCCGGGACCTGTATCTGCCCTTGGAATATTATTATAATTTTCAATCGTTTCAGATCAGTCTGATACTTTGCTCATTTTTAAATTAGTCAATTTGAATTATTCTTGGCGGTAGAAATGTCAAGTATATGACAATAAATATGTAAGCAGAGTGGTATACTTAATTTCACGTCCCCTGGTGGGACGGCGGTAAGTTTACGGACTTGCAACACAAAAATCCGGGGCTCAATTCCCACGGTGTACACAGCAGATAGCCCAAATTGGCTTTGCTCTAAAACAAGGAAACTTAACTTAACTTCACTTCTTTTTTTTTTCTATTTAAAACAAACTTATTGCGTCTTTATAATATTATTTTTGGTTCTGCAATTTATTTCAATGTCGAGGTTATATTGATATATCAACAACATTTTTATTCTGCTATATCCAAACATACTCGTCATAAATGTGTAAAAAGATCGTTCAGGAAAAAAAACAAAAAACTTTGCTCCAGTCTGATGTATTCCTTAATGGTTTTGCTATTCGACATATCTTCTTTTAAGTTTTTAATATTTGAATTATTTGACGTTTTAGAACTGCAGTGATTAAAAATATATATCTGATTTGGTTTAAAATACGAATGCTAATGAATTTACAACATTGCATTGACAAAAAAAGTTAAAAGTGCGCATGCGAGGTCATGTTAAAGAAAATGACGCATCATTTCATTCAGTGATGAATGAAGAATATTTATATTCTAGTTATTTCATTACAATTTGACCACCACTAACAATGTGATAGTATTATCATTATGCAGTGGTGTAGGATCTGAGGGTTTGCCCTCCGCCCCCACTGTTCAATCTGTCCCAGAAATTACTCTCAGGAAAAGCAGAAGAATGTATAAAATTTAATTTAGAACTCAAGAGTTTCCAGGGACCTGAAGTGAGCTCTGAATTCCACCGTAATGAGTGGGCTTGTAGTCCACATACCCTCGCTTCTTTCGGTCAAATACCCCCCTGTTTTTAATTTGTCCTGTGCATCTTTGTAATAGCCGATTTAGCAAAAATTATAGGATGCGAATGATAATCTCAATGTTTAGAATTAAAAATTGTTTTGTTTTGTTTTAGATGACTTGAATGACGTGAAGGCCCATCTAAACGATGCCATACGCAAGATTCACGAGATGGAACTGGATATTAAGCGTCTGGAGAACGAGAGGGAGGAACTGAGCATTGCATTCAAAGAGTCAGAGGCCCTGAGGAAGCAAGAAGAGGCTAGAGCTCAACGGTTGGCAACCGAACTAACTCAACTTAAATATGATTTTGAAAAGAGATTGGCTATGAAAGAAGAGGAAATGGAGGCCTTGCGGTAATCCTTTTTTTTTTTCTTAGTTGTAATAATATTTTAATATCACTTAAAAATGGTTGATCTAGAAAAAAATGACGTAATGTGGTACAATGATATGACCTTTAGAAAGTAGTGCCGGGTTCAAGTCCTGCATGCAGGAAAAGCAAACATTCAAATTACGATAGAATTGTAAGTAACCACCGTGTTCGTTTCTTACACTTAATTACTAAGAATGTTTCATCTTTCGATCATTTGGTTTCACTTAAAGCTAACATTTATGTATTTGAGATACTTGAGGCCATGTTACACATTTTACAAAAATAAAACACGAAAATATTAACTTATCCCAACTTTCTGTCATATAGCAAACAGAAGGAAATGGAAATTGAACAGCTCAACATGAGACTTGCTGAAGCTGAAGCTAAGCTGAAGACAGAGATCGCCCGGCTCAAGAAGAAGTACCAGGCACAGATTACTGAACTGGAAATGTCTTTGGATGCTGCTAATAAACAAAACATGGAACTTCAGAAAACAATCAAGAAACAGTCAATGCAAATCACGGTATGTAAATCACTTTAAAGTTTATACCATAGTAATAGATCAGCACTAGGTAAATCACGGTATGTAAATCACTTTATACCATAGTAGTTGATCAGCACTAGGTAAATCACGGTATGTAAATCACAACTACTATGGTATAAAGTGATTTACATACCGTGATTTACCTAGTGCTGATCAATTACTATGGTATAAACTTTAAAGTGATTTTAATATCGTGATTTACCTAGTGCTGATCAACTACTATGGTATAAACATCAGCACTAGGCAAATCACGGTATGTAAATCACTGTAAAGTTTATACCATAGTAGTTGATCAGCACTAGGCAAATCACGGTATGTAAATCACTTTATACCATAGTAGTTGATCAGCACTAGGTAAATCACGGTACGTAAATCACTTTAAAGTTTATACCATAGTAGTTCATCAGCACTAGGCAAATCACGGTATGTAAATCAATTTAAAGTTTATACCATAGTAATTGATCAGCACTAAGTAAATCACGGTATGTAAATCACTTTAAAGTTTATACCATAGTAGTTGATCAGCACTAGGTAAATCACGGTATGTAAATCACTTTAAAGTTTATACCATACTCATGTTCTAAACTGAAGAATCAAAGTATTGCAATCAGTTTCGTATCAATTATAAATAATGAACAGCCTATCAATATATGTGTCCAAGAATACAACGCAAATACTGTAAATTAAAGAGATTAGACGGAAGAGGTTACGTTATTATAGACGACTTACACTCCACCCACCCGTTATGATAGACGACTGTTTTTAAACACAATTCTTACACTCCACCCACCTGTTATTATAGCTGACCGTTTTTAAACACAGTTCTTACACTCCACCCACCTGTTGTGATAGCTGACTGTTTTTAAACACAGTTCTTACACTCCACCCACCTGTTGTGATAGACGACTGTTTTTAAACACAGTTCTTACACTCCACCCACCTGTTATGATAGACGACTGTTTTTTAACACAGTTCTTACACTCCACCCACCTGTTGTGATAGACGACTGTTTTTAAACACAGTTCTTACACTCCACCCATCTGTTGTGATAGACGACTGTTTTTAAACACAGTTCTTACACTCCACCCACCTGTTGTGATAGACGACTGTTTTTAAACACAGTTCTTACACTCCACCCACCTGTTATGATAGACGACTGTTTTTTAACACAGTTCTTACACTCCACCCATCTGTTGTGATAGACGACTGTTTTTAA